ATACTACTAAAATATAATTCTTATTTTCAAATATTTATATATAAAATTTTATTTAATAATTTTAAATTTTTAAAAAAATAGATCATTATTATATTGGACTATTAAGCAGACAAATTTGCCTGCTACAGTTTACAGATTAAGGGATAAATCTAATGTTATAAGTATGGATCATATCAAAACTATTATTAATCAATCAAAAAAAAATGAAAGTAATATAGCAGTTAGATATGATAATAAAAATCAATTAGAATGGAATTATTATGATTTTGAAAATTTTTTAGAATCATATTTTGTAAAAATTGATGGTATATGTGCATACTGTCACTTTTATTTCTATCATGATCAGTCTGGAAAAATATTTATAACTTTAGAATCTAATGGTATAAAAAAAGAAACTATAATTTGTAATAATGTTCAATTCGATCCATATAAACCTTTAACTGTAATTCCCTTAAAACCTTTAACTTTAAAATGTCAAACACAATTGTTCAAAGATATTCGTCCATATATCCACAACCCTCACAAAGACGAATTATGTTTTGCCCCACGTGAACAAGATTATATTGATATAGAATAATTTTTAGATCAACATGCATATATATGCAAAATTTTATTTTTAGAATCAAAAATCGGTATAATAAAAAACTTTGAATGAGAATTGTGTAGTAAATCATTATAATATTACGCAATGAAACTTGTGCCAAGTGTAAAGTATATACTAAAGAATATGATCCAATAAATTATCAAAGTTTGATCAAAAATTCCCAAATACTCATAACAGTAGAAATTGACCCATATAAGTTATCTTAATTTAAAGTAGTAAAAAGCACCCCTCCAAAAACTGCACATTATAACGTTAATTTAGTACTTTTGCTCTTTATAAGTTTTGGTTTTTGTTTAAAAAATGCCAGTTTTATTATAATAGTATTATCCGAATTAAATTTTTTTCTTTAAGTTTTGGTTTTTGTTTAAAAAATGTTAGTTTTATTATCATCCGAATTAAATGCTTTTTTTAAGTTCATAATGATACTTTTAAAGTTACATTGTAAAATGTTTTGTGAATAAAAGCAATAACGATAATGTTTCTATGAATCTAATTATTGTAAG